ACACACACACACACACACACACACACACACTCACACACACAGAGCTCTCGCTCACACCGCTCAGAAATTCAATCCAGACACTCTCCACCAGGGAAATTAATATTTCATTATTCTGTCATTTTAAGTGTCACATTTTCAAGAAGATGGAATCTGCTGGAGGACTGTAAATAATCATTAAAATGACTATAATGAATGAGACAATTAAGTATATTTCACATGAAGATTAAAACCAGATTCAAACTGCTCTGACTCATGCAGATCCAAGCAATGATGCTTTTCAAACACAACCTCGTGCCTGCAGAACGAACTGAACTCTACAGAAAGGAATCAAGTGACGTTTTCAAAAGAAATCTAAGTTCTCTCTCCACCTGTGTGTATTTTTTTTATTTTATTTGATTTGACCTCAAATCCAACTTCATTAATCCTTCAAAAGTGCCACTAGTGGAAGCAAACAGAATGCAAAAATGCAGCCATTGGTCAGTCAAAGAGAAAGTCCCACCCCCAAACTCACGCCATTGGTTGAGTTCACATCAGGCCACTCAAAAAGACAGATCAATGTTTCCAAAGCATCACAGTTTCACTCTTTAATGCAAGTAAATCAAGATACCGATGCTTTCATACTCACAGAATCAGACTGCTGAGGTTTCCAGCGTTTGGGCCCAAATCCGGGATCGACTCGAACTCGTTGTTACTCAGTTTTCTGTGAACGTAAAACCATGCGGTCACACATTCATCTGTGACATCTGAAAATAAAACAAAACCCAAAAAAAGCACACTCACATTTCGCTGAGCTGCGGCAGACTGGCGAGCAGCGCTTCAGGAAACGTGCGTAACTTGTTATGGCTCAGATCCCTGCAGAAGAAAAGCACAGCCATCAACGCAGTTTCTGAAGAGAATCTGTCACACGACAGGGGAAAATAAACTAGACACACACAAAAAAATGCGATACAAACTCATGCTACGACACTCTTACCATATGACATGATCATTTCAACATGTCAGCTCAACTCAGTTAGAAACCCAATCAGTCAAACCCAAATAAACAAAACACTAATTTTGCAACCATAAAAAAAAAA